GGAGATGATAATGTCTTAGCCTTCTTTCGGTCTTTGGAGCTACAATTCGTCAAGCAAACTCAGTCTTTTTGGGACCAAAATAGGTGCAAGTGGTGCACTATAGTCTCAAAGGTTTTTTGTGAACGTATGAAGCCTGTGTTGAATGGCTATTAGGTCCACCGTACCTCATTAAGACTAGATGGTCGGAATAGAAGCGTCTTCCAGTTGTGTTTTGGCCCAGATTTTTTGTCTACATAGGTACCAGTACATAATTTCAAAAGTAATTTGCATTACTGTAATTTGTATGAAATGCAGTTTCCTATTCCGGCACTAGCTTCAGTTTCTCCTTCATTTGCACAATTATGGTGTTTCTTTTTTATTCCGCTCTCTTTATTGTTTGATGCACATGCTGCATTATTTTTACAGTCATAAAGATTAAATTATGTACAAATACCAGACATTTAGGCCACTAGACACCTTGGAGAGACATAATGTAATGTGTGTATTGTAATTCTTTTGAGGTTGGAATAGATACCATGATGCGAACAGCTAAATAGCATTACGGCTTATAGGTAAAACTTGGCAAATTTTAAAGAAGAGTCTGCTAGAAACACTACACAATAGAGATTGTTTAATCAGCATACTGACACTGAATAATCTACTTCTGCTTATTTGTTCTAATTAATTATTCTTTCAATGAGACATTGTGCCCTATCTGTTTACACCAAACTAAACTACCCACTGACAGACAGCACTTACAAAAATAAGAAGTAGACTAGTGCGAAAAGAAGACGGAATATTATTGCTTTCTGTGTTGTTTTTCATGAAGGTCAATAAGTACCAAGTGAGGTAGCTTAACAGCGATCTAAACAAATAGCCAGTTTGACAATGGCTGACAATGACCAGACTAACACTGTTATTGACGTACCACGAAGTTAAATCTAAAATATCCAGTGCAGTCATTTTTTGTTCTATAATACAAAGAAACCTCACTGGTCAAGTAGAAATGTACTGATGTTTGTGTTTAATGAGAGAAGTATATACCACCAGCATCTGTGGTCCAGTTGTAGAATACTTGCGGGCCATTCACGTGGTCTGGGTTCGGTTTCCTACCACTGGACTGATAAACATCACTTAGCCGATATTAAGCCCTGTAAAGAGGGAAGGTTGGGTAGGAAGCCAACAACATCACCGTATGATAAAGAAACAGCACCACTAATGAAACTCTAAAGTTCAAGCTTGAAGTCCTATTTTCGACTGGAAATGCAAAAAAATGAAAAATATACCACCATAATAATGTACTAAAGTCCAATGGCGTCAGTATCGAACTCTAGTGATGACTGATATTGGAAGTTTTTACAGCAGATGCAAATAAATCATACCAATAATGTGTGAGGTAACCTGGTAACTCGAACTTAAAATGAATATTATCAGGTGAATAAATCTACATCTCAACTCTGTATTTCTCGAACTCAGTATTTTATCTGGCTGTTCAGTCCCATTTGCTAACATTAGTATTCACTGCGCTACTACTACCACTTATATTGAATATGACTTGATAGACTTGGACATGCTGTGCGAACAGCCTGAGTTATTCACCGCAAAACAACTCAGATTACAACTGATTTCATTCATGACTGATTGATGGACATGAATTAGCAATGGAAACTATTAAAAGCTGTTATCAGTTGAAAAAGAATTGACTAAACCCTGTGCAAAGTAACTGCCAAACTAAGTGGCACAATAATGTGGCACACTGAAGTTCCTCACTTAGTCTGGGGATACAGTCAAATTTTTGACTATAATCTACATAAAGTCTGCGTTCATCACTTCATAAACCAACACACAACTCAACACAGTCGTCATTTTAACCTTCAAAAGCGTATTAATTATCACATCAATAACAGTCAAATAATTGAAGACAATATCTGACTTAGTGACCTAATATTTGCTACTCATTAGTTAGATGTGGGAAATAATGTTACCATGATTAAAAATTAAATAAAATCATAAAATTCAAGTATTGATTTGTGGGGATTTGATTGGCTACAGGATTTCATCATGAGCTGACATTAGTTAGGGAACCATTGGAAAACTTGAGAGTAATTGACGGTTGTTTCGTCCTAGTTTGTGACTCTTTGGCAGTACGCACCCATCACCAGGGTTCGAACCCAGGACCTCCTGGTTACAAGGCGAGCTCGTAGACCATTAAGCCACTGGGACCCGATCCAATGGCCATCCCATGAATCCCAACTCCTGCCAATTCACAATATAGCGCAACCGCTAGCTAATGTCTTCGGGGAATATTTATCCTCACACCCGACCTGCTGCACCCTACTGGTCATGGCTTCCCACTGGAACCCCAGGTAACTACCTACCTGAATAGGGCCAGTCGTCAAGTATGATGAAAGATAATTTATTCACATTCTGTAGAAGTATTTATAATATGGATTTTCAGTGGTAATAATGATCAGATGAAAGAGCAATGCACTTGAAGATTTCAAGATAAACAGCTAAACTCTTTTGCACACATCGACTTGGCTTTTACATAATTTTACGATTTCAAGAATGGGACGATGGAATGTGAATGACTGAACTGAGTCGTGTTGACAAGTTAGCTGTATATTCAAATAATTTACTGACATAATGTTTATTCTTACATTTATTATATGTATTTTCGCCATCTCATCTCAGTTTTTATGCTTAACAGTATGTACTTTAAGATTATTAGTGACAATGTCTTAAAACTTAGAAAACGACATTTATAACCTGTATTGGGAATAGAATCGTAGAAAAAAGCAAACAGAAAAAAAATTGCGTCTACTCTAGTTGTGATTCACCTGTAAGTTAGTCTATATCTGTATAACAATTTGTGATCTTATATGACAGCAGTTTTATGGTCTAGCAAAGCAGGTAGCATAGTGGAACCTCATATACTTACTGTGATATCAATAGCCTGTTGCATATACATCTTAACATATATATTTCTGTAAATGCAGTAAGTTTGTCCGCTACAGTTACAAATCAACTATAAAGTAATCTGTTGATGTGGTAAAGACCAACATGGTTCGAATATTAAGAATATTTAGCATTTCAAAATGATACCAAAGTGTGTGATATTTATCAGAAAGGATGTATTATACTCCATCTTTTGAATACGAAAATTTTATGCATGTGACAACTTCTTAAAATAGTAACCCAAAAAAAAACACAGAAAGAAAGAAGATCTACATTACAGAGGAGTATTTGAAGTGCACACTAAAAATGTTAACTGCGTAGCAAAAACTTAACTAAAGTAAACTGTGGAAATATTTACAGAAATATTCACAAAATATCATGTTTATTTTGATCTAGTCAGAAAAAAAGTAAATCTTATTTTTATTTCTAATGGAAACAGGAATTTCTCATGGAACACTTAACAGTCCTTTAATGCTACATTTAAAAGAAATATCATGTAACCTTTACTGCCTCTTCGATAAACATACAATATTTTAAATATCAACTTTAATTGTGTCCCTTTTCGAATACATCAAACACCTCGCAATATCTGTAAGGAGATACACTCATGCAATACACTTAGGAAGTGAAAGAGAAATCGGACTTATCAAATAGGTCATATACTTTATGAAGGCTAAAATATTTAAGGAAAACAGCTTTACGGACAAATAACTAAGTCATACACAGAAGCCGTATACTATATCTTAGCAGATACTGTGCAGTTGAGACTCACTGTCTAGAAATATAAGAGCTGAATGCAAAAAGTTACTGAAATCACATAAATAGATTTCTTAGGCGGAGATATATTAGTGCATGCATGAGAGAATTAAATTATTTTGCTGTTTACAAGGATGTTTATCAGGATGTTAAGGGATGTATTTTACTTTCAATAACTGCGCTTCACATAACCTAAAACCTTACAAAACAGTATCTCCGTAACATGGATATATCATTCTCACATTGTCATATATATACTAGTCATATACTAGTAAACGAGTTGACATTTTGCAGAACCTCAGGTGGGAGTCGAATCCAGACATTCGGCTAAATTTGAAGACGTCATGGGATAATAATAATAGCTTTATTCCAAAGAGTATTTGTGGTACAGGTATAGAATTTTCATCGTGCATTCCAATATATTGCATCTAATTACCTCATAAATTTTATAAGATTTTAAAATCAAAAAGCATCACTCAAAAAAGATAAATAAAAGAAAAAATAAAAAGAACAGCGTTGCGTTTACATTTTAAGCAATGCACCACAGGATATGAAATAGAAAATTGGTGTGAAGTATGCGCTGAAGATGTCACCCAGTAGGGTGATGAAAGCTTCTCAAATTAAACATCCAGCTCAGAGAACACAACCACATCAAAATCATCCACCTGAGCTACAAATCTTCTCTATCATAGCTGATGGGATTATTTGTTAGAGTGCCGCAGTAAGTTGATCATTTCATACCTAACGGATTTCTCATCACATAACAGCTGTGGCAGATATGGTATTGTGGAGTATTTGTACTTCGTAGTCCTAGTATGTAGCCTCCTATATCTGCTTCTAGTTCTACCAGATGAAATACAAGGGAACAGCTAGGTATAAAGAGGATGCTCAGGGTCTGACAATATTGTATTCGCTAGTTTCTTACATGACATTATATGTCTATCCGCAATAGTGTTAACTAGTTGGTTTAACGATATCCCACTTGCCCGACTAACGGCTTTTAGTGCCCTTCTCAGCAAAGCAAAGTCTTTCTTAAGTAGTCCAGGAAAGATTGAATATTGCGAATATGCTACGTTTTTGTCTGACAGACCCCCACTTCTCTTACTGCAATTTCGAGTTGACCGAAATTATACATAGCAGCATATGTAACAAGATAGCTTACCACTGTGTTTATTACATAGTCGAAAACTAAGCATGACACTTTTTTCCCGGCTAACCACTACGATTAATTGGCAGTTGATCTGGCTACATGTTATACACAAAAATATTATATGTAACAGTAAACTAATAACAGCATATAGACTTACCCTCATCTAAATCTCCTCTAGCTGCAGCTTCTAAAAATATTAAAGTCTGTGGGAATTTCACAGCACGACTAGAATTATAATGCCCTCTATCATTCAACGGAGATAATCCTTTCTTTTGTAACTTCTCCGATTCTTTCTGCATTTTCTTATCATAGACTTGCCATTCTTTCAACTGAATAGCACGTTCTTTGCGTGCATTCTTGATGCGTTTCATGTCAGGCACGCGTGCATTAGGCAGTTCAGTATCATCTGAATGATTTGTCAAATGTTCAACTGTTCCATTTGAATTATCCATTATTATCTCAATCAACTGTTTGATTTGGATTTTTGTAATTACTGATCAAGTGAAGGAAAGCGATTTGTTAGTTAAGCAGATCTAAAATTAAAAGATAAGAGATATTGGCTGGTTTAGTTGTATGAAGTGATTAACACTTAGCATGCGAGCAAAAGACTAAAATATATTATGAATGCAATTACATAATTACCTCTCTCAAACAAAACAGGAGTAATGATGATCTACTGGATGTTGATCCGTATGAGTGTGTGTATGTGTACTGTAATAGGCTATGATCAATCAACTAAATGCACATCACTTGTTGCATTAAATCAGCTAACTGACCTATTAAATTTTTAATTAGTCACACATTGTTAATGACCATCATTTGTTTTGTTTGCGAGGAGAGCTAGGAAAGAGAAATAACTACAAGCCTTTTCGAGGTGACAAGTTGAGTTTTCTCTACAGAAAGTTTATCATAAACAGTTATCACTTTGTTTACTAGCTGATGACTGTTTTCTAATGATTTGTTTTAATTTTAAAGAAAAATTAATTGCTCTTGTGGACAAAAATACCGTTTTGGAATCAAATAGAAATGCCTATAGATACCTCTGACGATACCATGGTGATTTGAATATGCGACGGATAATTTACTCATCAGCATTGTGACCCAGAAAAATTATTCTATGAAGAATAAAAATTTCAAATTCGAGAATTAGTTTAGTTTGAAATTACTCATCCATATTTACGGTTTCCCGTTGGTATTTCTGAACTGAACTTATCAGTCTCAATTCAGTATAAGGGCTCCTTGAACAGATACCTTGATATTATCATGATTACTAACCTCGAGTTGCCTATTTACTGGTAGTTAGCAATGAAATCCTGTTCAAGACTCGTCAGCTAGGTGTTCAAACACGTCCTGAATCCTATTACTAGCCAACATCAAACCAGAAACTTCTTATATAGTTTATATTCAGAAGGGAAGTAACAAAATATTTGTTAAACCAATCATTGTTAAACATAACACCTCTTAAATTTGAATAGTTCTTCAATCATTACAGCTAATGGTTTTAGCTTACTTATGAAAATGATGTCGATATCGTAATCAGCTTTGTTGGAAAAACAACTACATCTTGAAAAATGTATATAAGGAAAACCTCGTTTAAAAATAAGTGGCAAAATTAGTTAGTCACTATTGAGGAATATCTGACGAATAATGCTGAAAGCAACTAGATGGCATTGTGTTCACCTGTAGATTTATGATATTTTAATATTATTGGCTCGCAAAATATTTACATTGTACTGAAATGAACTGAATTTTCAAAACCGAACTCTCCATAAAAGTATAATAGTTTAAGTTACCACACTTCATAAAATGATGCATTAAATTAGTGAAAAAGAATCCAATAAAACCACAATAAGCAGAAATTTGTGGAGGAAAGAGTGATGAGACTAAGGATCAAAACGGATTTCGATAATCTGCAGAATCATTAATCCATACGTATACCCTTCAGAATTTGTGATCCTCCGTAATTCTAATGAGAACCCACAGTCAATGTCTACGACATAATTTGAAATTAACTAAAAGTGTTTCATCATATGATAGAACTTTTCTAACTTCTCTTCGACATTAGGCTGGTGAGATCCGTGATGTGAATCTTTACGTGTTAAATTTTGGCACATTCGACTGAATAATAACATTTATGTTCAAAATATTCTTATCATTTTGTCAATTAAGAAATTCTCTTTGATCTGTCTCTCAAAAACTTTATGAAATAATATAACCTTACAAAAGCTTGTCCGCATAATTAAATTTTTATGCACCGAGGAGGCAGCTAGACGTGTTGTGCTTAGATTAAAGCTCTGTAAGTGATCAGTTCTGAAATCACCTACAGTATAGCTTTGAATGTAGTATTATGTATCAAAATGTGAAATACGAAGTAGGAGAAGTCCTCTGTAAAAAGTGCTTTGTAATATTTAAATGATTTCGAAAAACTCACTAGGTTAGTGCCGGCATGCTATCTTTAACGTGATTTTTGAAAAGATTAACACTGTAAACAGATAATTATTATATGACCATCAATTTAAAAATCTTGACTTTCTTAATTTTTACTTTTCTAAAATACGGAAACCTGTAACGAGTCACAATCAAGCTAAGTTAAACTTTAAATCATTCATTAAGGTAGAAATGTTGAGGTTAAATATCAGAATGAGAAAGCAAGAGCAACATTTTCGGTCTGTTGAATATTTTTGCATTTTTAGACGGCTCTTTGCCAGTTAACAGTAATTTCTATCATGAACTTCAGTATGTTTCAAGGATGAGTAAAAAATAGAGTGGTTCAAGAGAAATTCTTTGATATCATTGTCTGAAACTAATTATCATTAATCAACTTAGATATCTGTTAGAATGTCAGTCACTTATAGCGTTTTAAATAATAGCTATGTACAAACAGATAGAAGTACTTTATTTTTCCTATTCATTTTGACTCAAACATACATAATAGATTCCAACCTGTAGTCTAAAAGAGACAAAACTTAAAGCCTAAAATGTCTAATTGCAATAAACTCCTGAAATTCCTTTCAGTAACCAGGGCAGAAGGTCATGCAGACATTCATGAATGTTGAATATTAAACCATTCATCCACATCTTTACAAAGAAATAATCTCGTAAACGGCTTTTGCTTGACAGCAAATTCATCGATCAGAAGTTTGAAACTTTGACTTACAAACATTTCCAGTTTGTACTACGTAATGTAAACAGTAACCCAATGAATCAATACATATAATATGCAGTTTCATCTTTTTTTATTATGAATCACATCTGCACAAGCGTATGGGTATATCTCTTGTAGGTTGAAATTCCCATACTCATGTATTTTTCGTACTTTATTTAAGCAGAATGTGTATCAAAGGGATTCTTTCAATGTAGAAAGATCATTATGTGAAATACTTAGCACTTTATCTGAGAACAGTCGAATGTATCTTATCCAAGGGTAAGGTAAATTATCCGTAAGTAAACAGAACACCTTTAGTTGTTCATCAAAAGATTTTATGAGCTTTCTTCAAATATCAAAGTAATTTACATTGCAAATCAAATACCTCCTTTAAGGTCACGAGTTTTTCATTTTTTTCTTCTACAAGCAGACATTCAATAAACATACTATGTTAAGTTTGTTTTATTCTCAGCTGGGACAAGAATGTTCAGATGTCAGATAGCTTTAGCGAACCCAGCGTACTTAAACTAATAAATTTAAAAATGGTGGTTTGTATTAAAGCTCAGCAGAGCAATAAACCCTAAATAAAACTTAAAACCATAATAACAAATAACTAGTCAATGTGTATCTACCTGATGAAAGCAATAAATCCAGTGAATAACAGAAAAACAAACTTCACTATTACTCAAACAAAAAGATGTATTATTTCCATGTATTATTTAAGGCTATTAGGTGATGCATATGATAGAATTCACTTAGTACTATCAATAATCACATTCAATTTAACTGCTAACAACGTACGCTTAAACTGTAGACTTAACATCTATATAGGCGTAACCCGTAGAGTTTACAATTCACCGTTTAACTGGTTATCATCTAAACCACGTATAATGTACATAAACATTCAAGTTAGCAATCATCACCTCTAAGTTAAGAATATTTCTATCAGTAACGTTTTGTTCTAAAGTACTTTCTTTAGTTATTATTAAAAATGACAACAAATTTATCATGGGTGAAGAATGCAGTCCTTTGAATTGGCTGCGAATAAATAAAAACTAAAAGTTTAAAACTTTGTTTTCTGTTTATGTTCCAGGATGAAAATGTCAACTTCCCACGCGATGTTATTTCGTAAGCATACAAAAGCATAATAATAAATTCCTTAAACCTAGAAGTAATGTTAAGTAATTTAAGTGACGTCCAAACTGACGGTAAGAGATAATATCAGTCGTTATTGTCTTCATTCTTCACCAATAACACCAATCATTACTCCATTCTCAAAAATCAGCTACTCTACATAAGTATTCAAGAGACTCAGCCGTTGACAGATTGTCACTTAATAGTTTATTGGTTTCAGTTATCTCAACAGTTAGCCAGAAGTCACTGCAAGACAAGTGTTTACAACACTTTGGTGTACATGTAGTTGTTTGGATATAGCGTTCACCGAAATTAATTCGTTGTGTTTTCCGAAAAGTTCATTACTGAGGACTCTGCATTGACAATAATAATAATAATTTACTTTATTCCAAAAGCAGTTTTTATAATACAGAATGGAATTCTCAGCATTTGTCACAATACCGAATCTGATTTACTTAAAATATGAATAAAATTAAAAATTAAAACAAAAGTAACCAGAGGAATTTGTCCACGTTTACGATATAAAATCAAAAATATTCGAAGCACGAATTGAGAATATTAAATATAATAATAACAGTGAGTTTGTTTCAAACAGTATTGTCGATTCAGTATGGAAATTTTAGCATGTTATTATAGAGTATTGAATATAATATTCTGTTGATATAGTGTAGTGAGGGGAAATACAAGATAAACAGTGGTAACACAGCTTAAACGATGTTCACACTTATGAAAAATAAATAAAAACAAAAAATTGAGAGGATTATAAATATAAGAAATAGAATAACAATAAAGCTTGATGTTATAAGGGTTGAAGAAATGGTTTGTTTAGTAGTGCGAAGAAGGTTAGTTAATTCATGCCTGACACCATTTTCATCACAAAAAGTACGTGCCAAATATGGTATAGTGGAATTTTTATACTTAGACGCATGTGCATAAATTCTTCTGAAAAGACTTCTTGTTTTACCTGAGGAGACACAAGGTTGGAGCTGCAGGTAGAGTGAGTGCTCAGAGTCTGACAAAATTCCTTTAGCAAATATGTTACACGACACGAAGTGCCTGTCAGTGACAGTGTCAATGATATGGCCCAATGGGATACCACTCGTCCTACTGACAGTCCTCAGAGTTCTATGAAGTATGACATAGTCTTTTTTAAGCAACCCAAGAAAGAATAAGCAAGGGTGAACAGTAAAGAAGAATAGGTAAAACACACGAGTTGACAAACTGTAAGAGGAGCGTTGATATAAGAATAAAACT